TAACAACCCTAACAGTTGCCAAGACCTTTATTTGTCTTGTAATATTTATGGCTGATACAGTTTTCATTAGTTTTGAGTCTGACATTTTTACCTGATATTAAAATATTCATACAATTCTATTTTCCTAAATTTACCTCATAATTCCTTCCGGGAATCCTAATGATAATTTGTGGGAAAATATTATGGTAGGTGTCATTGATTATAAGATGTTCAGCAGCACCCATTAGTTCCGTGCTTCTTCTTGATTTATTAAAAAAAAAAAGTTTAATATCTTCTCACATCCACCTGGACAGAAATTTATGATGCCACTGATTCTCATAACTTTTTTGTTAAATGGAAGTTACGGAAATGTTTCACCAAACGAACTCATAGGAAAAAGGGGTTAATAAGCCGAAAGGAGAGAAGACAACTAAAAGACTACACAGACAAACAAGACTAACTTGCAGCACCACAGGAACGTATGATATATCACCATGGCCTGCATCTTAAATGTATGATATATCATCATATGTACGATGTACGATATATCATCATTTGTATGATATATCATCATATTGCTGCACCACAGGAACGTACGATCTATCATCATGGCCTGTATCAAATCATTAACGTATCTAAAATTAGAATAGGGAATAATTTTTTTTTTCATGTCGGTAGAAAGAGTTGCGAAAGACGTTAATCGAAGAATATTGGAATAATACATGTAAATAGAACTGGTGTTTATTAAAAGAAAAATCAGCTTCGGTATAATAATGTGACACTCATTGACAGCTCTCCTTTCGTGCCAAAAGGACAGTGAAGGTAATAACTTCTTCTCTTACTGTATCTTCAAATTTCCTTTAAAATATGTTTCATGTATTTTAATCCGGGGTTGAATCACAGACCGATTATTTGGGACGTGCAACTCTGCTAAATAATTCCCGGGTTTATTTTGAAGATCGTGTCTGTCCCGTAGAAGCACTAATATTACTTACATTAATTACTTCCATTTCGAGTTCGAATCCCTTTGTAAAGACTTCAGGTTGCCTTTCAAGTATATTGTGTATTTGACTTGTATAGTTTTGGGCGCGTTTAATGTTATGAGGTTTGGATATAAACACAATTACAACGGCTTTTTATTAAGGTTTCAGGGACGGTGTCAGTGTTGAAGCTAATTAACCTCTGCTATATGGCTCCTGACATTTCACTTTCGTCCTACATGTAGCCGAGGTATTTCTGGGCGTTCGGTATCTCTCTACAGGTAGGTATTTTACTGAGCATTAAATTTATATGTTCCCTTTTCATTCTCGTCTTATGGCCTTGTGGTTAGTTGGGAAATTTCTGAATCCCTCGTACTAATGAAACGGAACGCAATGCCTTACGTGGTTCCAGGTTTCCTATTGTGGTTCATCACAGATTTTTTTTCAAAGGACTACGCTTGGCCTCTTACTCATTTCGTTAGTCCCGGCGAAATGCTGCCCAACTTCATACTCAAAAAAAGCCCCAATGGATGACTATATAATCGCCATCAACTAACGAGATATAATAAACAAAATGACATCCCGTCCAAGTGCTGCATGTAGAGTACCCTTCCGGTCAGTGATAATGAATATTTTTTTTATATCCTGTCTATAATTCTGAAAATGAAAGCCAGAACTAGATTGATAATTGGGTCTGCTGCTCTTTAAGTCTGTGCCATGGATTAAAAATAATGCGTTTAACATCTGTGATACATATTTACGGACGATCGGTTAGTATGTGCGTTCTTGCAGAATAATTTTAAACATTCTATATTACTGCTTAGATGAAGCACTATTAGTGATTCAGTTGCCTATGTACGTTGTGTAATTTATTTGTTTATTATCAATCTATCACAACTATATATTTACACACTTGCACAAGTGGTTCTTGACAAGAATTGCTCATTCATCTTCACTTCTCAAACTAAATAAAACGTATTTCTGCGTTAGGATAGACGACCACCAGAAATAATTACATTGAGGATAGATTTACGGTTTCGGAAGCCCAAACTCATACGGAGTTAAAATTACCACATACTGAGAACAACGTATTTTGCTGAATACTGATTTTTTATTGGAGAATCAGCACCCGCTCTTTATCTCTTCGTTTTTGTTGTAAGGTTTCTATTTTTGCTATATGTAGTGTTGTACCAATCATTTTCGCAAATATTTCCGAACTATTTCCAAAGTACATTCCAAACACCATGTAACCACCTATGTGAGAGGTAGGTACTGGAGTAAACTATAATTTACTGGTATTTCAATCAATTAAGTTGGATCCATATCTGATATTGAACAGTTCTGACGAGAGCATTGTGGGAATTTAAATATTTTGCAGATAAACTATCGCGTCATACTTGGGATTTGAAACAAATTATAGAGTTTTTACCATGTGCTTCAGTATCATTTTAGATTCTAATCATCAATAATACTTTACTTAATGTGATTATCCACGCGAAACACGAAAAGCTGAGAGATAAAAGGAAAATTAAATAAATGAA